TTAAATTAAAAATTATTCTTTAAATTAATAAATAAAATAATATTAGTATGGAATAAAAAAGATAAAAAAATAAATCAAATAAAAGCTATCAAATAAATCAAAAAGCTTTATTGTTTTTAATTAGTTTTTATAATTTAAAATATCACAATTCAAAACAAATAAAATATTTTTACAAAAGAATAAGTGTCAAATTTGAGAGATTAATGCAATTTGCTAAAGCAGAACCTAAGCCTGATACACCTTTATCACCAATTATATTCCAACTTTTTAAATATTGAAGAAAAAATATATCATTAAATAGTTAATTAGAAGGAAAAAATGAAGAAAAAATATGAAATAATAAAATTAATTAAAAATAAAAGCAAAATTTGGAAATTAAATGATGAGCTAAATTAACAAAGAAAGAACAAAAAAAAAGCAAACACAATAAAAAGAAAAAGAAAAAAGAGCTTTATTGTTTTTGATTAGTTTTTATAATTTAAAATATCACAATCCAAAACAAATAAACTGTTTTTACCCAAGATTAAGTGTCAAATTTGAGAGATTAATGCAATTTGCTAAAGCAGAACCTAAGCCTGATGCACCTTTATTACCAATTTTATTCCAACTTTTTAAATATTGAAGAAAAAATATATCATTAAATAGTTAATTAGAAGGAAAAAATGAAGAAAAAATATGAAATAATAAGATTAATTAATTAATAATAAAAGCAAAAGTTGAAAATAAAATGTTGAGCTGAATTAACAAAGAAAGAACAAAAAAAAAAGCAAGCATAATAAAAAGGAAAAGCAAAAAGAGCTTTATTGTTTTTAATTAGTTTTTATAATTTAAAATATCACAATCCAAAACAAATAAACTGTTTTTACCAGAAGATTAAGTGTCAAATTTGATAGATTAATGCAATTTGCTAAAGCAGAACCTAAGCCTGATGCACCTTCATCACCAATTTAATTGCCACTTTTTAAATATTGAAGAAAAAATAAATCATTAAATAGTTAATTAGAAGGAAAAAACGAAGAAAAAATATGAAATAATAAAATTAATTAAGAATAAAAGCAAAAGTTGGAAATTAAAAAATGAGCTAAATTAACAAAGAAAGACAAAAAAAAAAGCAAGCACAATAAAAAGAAAAAGAAAAAAGAGCTTTATTGTTTTTGATTAGTTTTTATAATTTAAAATATCACAATCCAAAACAAATAAACTGTTTTTACTAAAGATTAAGTGTCAAATTTGAGAGATTAATGCAATTTGCTAAAGCAGAACCTAAGCCTGATGCACCTTCATCACCGATTTTATTCCAACTTTTTAAATATTGAAGAAAAAATATATCATTAAATCGTTAATTAGAAGGAAAAAATGAAGAAATAATATGAAATAATAAGATTAATTAATAATAAAAGCAAAAGTAGAAAATAAAATGATGAGCTGAATTAAAGAAAAAAAAAAGCAAGTACAATAAAAAGGAAAAGAAAAAAGAGCCTTATTGTTTTTAATTAGTTTTTATAATTTAAAATATCTCAATCCAAAACAAATAAACTGTTTTTACGTAAGAACAAGATTCAAATTTGAGAGATTAATGCAATTTGCTAAAGCAGAACATAAGCCTGATGCACCTTCATCACCAATTTAATTTTGACTTTTTAAATATTGAAGAAAAATATATCATTAAATTGAGTAAGTTGCCATACAAACTTACAAAAAGCAAGTTTTATATACCAGTTTTTACATTTTATAAAAAAAATTAAAATTTTAAATAAATTTTAATGAATTTTTTTCAATACTAGTTTTTAAAAATTTATATTTTTTCAAAAAAAATGGTATGTTATAAGAATATATAATATATATTATTTCAAATTTTATATTTTGTGAATTTAAAGCTTTCTAAAAACTCAAAAATAAAGCTGCTTTAAGCTAATTTATCTTTATTTATTATGTTATTAAGATATATTACATTTCGCCTATTATAAATTAAATAGGCATTTTACTCTAGTTAATTAGGAGGATAAAATGAAGGAAAAATATGAAATAATAAGATTAATTAATAATTAATAAAATTAACAAAAAATGAAAAAATAAGAAATCATAATAAAAAGAAAAAGGAAAACAAATAAAATAAATTAAAAGAGATTTAATTATTAAATTAACTTTTATAATTAAAAATATTACAATGCAAAAAAAAAAATTAACTGTTTTATTAAATGTTAGTTTTAATAGCAAAAAACGAAGAAAAAATATCAAATAATAAATAATTAAAAATTGAAATGAAAATTTTGTTAAAATAGCTAAAAAGTTTTTGTTTTTATAAAAATCAATAAATAATGATGATAATCTCTTTTATAAAAATTATTTATTTAAATAAATTGAAAATTAAATGTACAAAAAATATTAATAATAAAAAAAGTAATTTTTTTAATTAATTATACTTGAGATCAATATGGAGAACCTAATGAGATAAAAGTGAAGAGCTTAAAAACTTTTTTTATTAATTTATATAAATTTAAAGGATATTAATAAAAAAATTAATAATTACTTCTTCCAAATTATTATATTCTTTAATCTATTATATCATTTATTTTTTTTCAAAAATATTGAATAGCAATTTATGAAATTTAATTAATTAATAATAAATGGATAAAAAGAACAAATCAATATAATTATTAATTAATTATCAAATATTAATTTATATATTTGGTTTTATGAAGAGATATCACAGAAAAATTAATTTAACATTCACTTTTTAAATTTAATATTTGTATTTAAAACATACACTTAAAAATATATATAGTAGGAATTAAAGATGGCCAGTTTTTTATTTAGTCATATTTGAAAAAAATCTAGTAGTTATTGTTCTTAAATATTATAAAAATAATGTTTGTAAGTAGATTTTTCTGTTTTAGCTCTGTAATTTTAGGAATATTTATAAAATCTCTAATTATAGCAAGATGCCATACAAAAATTTCATGGCTTGTATACTACTTATTATGAATTATATTTTTTATTTGTTTATTAAAAAATCTAATTTTTATTTATATAATATATTATAATTAATTAATTAATAATTTAATTTATTATAATTTAAAAATTAATAATTTTTTTACCAACCAAATAAAAATAATTTTTATAAAATTTAAGACCATTCATTGCTAGAATTTTTTCAAGATATATATGTTTACCAATCTCTAATTCCTTCTATATTTTTAAGTAAATACTTTAAATAGATATATTAAAATTAAATAAGAATTGTTACACTAACTTTTTTGTGATATCTGTTATTAAAAGCAAATTTTTAAATTCATTAATTTTTTTTATCTATTTATCCACTTTTTATTAATTAAATTTCAATAAATTAATTAATTGCAATTCAATATTTTGGAGAAAAAAAATAAATGATATAATAGATTAAAAAGTATAACAACATAAAAGAAGTAATTTATTGTTTTTTTATCAATATACATTAAATTTATTTTTACTAATAAAAAGTTTTTAAAATCTTCACTCTAATCTCATTAGGTTCTCCAATTAATATTTACGTAAATTTAATTTATAAATTATATTATTAGTTTTTTTTCAATATATCAAACTTTTAATTTATAAATTTTTCTAATATAAATTATCACCTAAATTTATTCATTTTATTTAAAAAGATATTTTTTAAACATTTGAACTAAATTTTCACTTTTAATTATTAAAATTAATTTTTCATTTTATTACTTTATATTATTTATTCATTTTTCCCTTCTAATACTTTTAATTTATTAAAACAATCAATTTGTTTTCAATTGAGATATTTTTAATTACAAAAATTAATTTAAAACAATAAAATTCTTTTAATTTAATTACTACATTTTATTTGATTTATTTTTCTTTTTCCTATTTAAGTTCTTTACAACAGATTTTTTTATCTTTCTTAATTAAACTCATTTTTTTATTTTCAGCGTTTGTTATTACTAATTAATTCATATTTTTTCTTCATTTTTTCCTTATAACTAACTAATTACCACATTACTTCTAACTACGGTTCTCACTTTTGGGGATACCGAGCCGGGTTTTTAAAATTTTTATAAGGTTATCTAACCCGCTTAATACGAATTTGAAACCCGTTTAATATAATTCCTTATATATGCACTATATATTAAACTCTATATAGAGTTATTGTGCAAAATTAACTTAAAATAATGGAAATTTCCCCTCTATAAGTAATATACAATATTTTAAATTGAGTGATTTATTAATAAAGGTAAAAAGTGTTTTAAAATTTTTTCAACTAGAGATGAAATTTTTAATGAAAATGTTTATTCTTTTTAAAGCACAAAACTTATTCCGATACCTTTTTTTATTTGCTTTAAATTATTCTAAATATATATTTAAAATGACTAATTTTTATTGAATAAGAAGAAGAAGATAATGAAAGATCAAATTTTTTATTTTTTTATAAACTTTATTTATTAATGAGTTTATTAGCTGAGACTAAATAAATAAATAATAAATCACTTAATTGCTTAAGAATATTATTAAAAGTTAAATTATCCAACCATTTAACTTGTAACTTGAAATTGGATACAAATACACTTTGAATGGAAATTTTTAATTTCAAAAACTAGGAATATCTGGATTTTTAAGCCTTTAATTCTTTACTTCTTTACATATTACAATATTAAATTTTTTTCTTACTTCGAAAAAAAAGGAGTTTTTCTTTTTATTCTAAAATTTATATTATTAGCCAGATAGATAACTTAAATTAAAAAACAATTATATTTAAATTGTTTTTAATTTTATTTTTGATTTGAATAATTCATATTTTTTTTCATGTTTAAAAAAAAAAAGAAATTAAAAGTTGAAGCTACAATCAATATAGAAAACATAAAAATATATTTCACAAATTCATATTATTTTTAATATTTGTTCATAGTAATTCAAGTTATTATTTTACTTATAATAAACAAGCAAACAAACAAAAAAAAGAGTGCATTTCTGATTTCATAAACTGTGCTGCCTGAATCTAACAAATATAATGTGGCTCATCACTTTATTTTTGATATTTTAAATTAAATGAAAATTATAAATTAATTTATTTATTTGCAAAAAGATTAATTACCTCCTAATATTTTTATAAACGTTTATTAAATCTTTCTTTTTTGTAATAAAAACTTTTAAAATATTATATTACCCTATTTATTTTATTCTAAGGTTAGTAAAAAAGCTTAATTTTCTTATAAATAATTTTACTTTCTTTATAATAAGTTAATAGTAGATATTCATATATATGTTGGTTTCTTAATAGGATTAATTATTACCAACTGTTTTAATTAAAACATTTCTTGATTGTAATTCATCCAAAGTTATTTAAAATATTACAATCTATTATTATTTTTAATTTTTTTTTTTCTTTTTCAATCACTCAAATATTTTACAATCTAGTTTAGAATTAACATAGTTAGTTAGTTACATTTTTTCATTACTTTCATAACTCTTACTCACTATTTTCAAATTAAAAATAACACTTACTCTACAGTAGTAACTTTCAAAAATATTACTATCTATTTCATACATTTTAATAAGATTCTCTATCAAAATTATTCTTCTAAAATAAATATTACTCGCTGTAAATTCAAAATTAAACTTATTTTCCATCTTTCTTATTTATCTTCTACTAATAATTACCAACTTTTTTTCAAAAGTTCATTTAATTCTCTAATTTCTTATTATGAACTCTTATTAATAAATTTTACTCACTATTTTATATTTAGATTTTATTTTCTCATCAAAAATCATTCTAAAATATTAATTACTAGCTATTTTGAATATGAAAGTTAGTTAATTCAGCATTTATTTTCTCATCAAAAATCATTCTAAAATATTAATTACCAACTATTTTGAATATGAAAGTTAATTCAGCATTTATTTTCTCATCAAAAATCATTCTAAAATATTAATTACTCCCTATTTTTAAATATGAAAGTTAATTCAGCATTTATTTTCTGATCAAAAATCATTCTAAAATATTAATTACCAACTATTTTGAATATGAAAGTTAATTCAGCATTTATTTTCTCATCAAAAATCATTCTAAAATATTAATTACCAACTATTTTGAATATGAAAGTTAATTCAGCATTTATTTTCTCATCAAAAATAATTCTAAAATATTAATTACTCCCTATTTTGAATATGAAAGTTAATTCAGCATTTATTTTCTCATCAAAAATCATTCTAAAATATTAATTACTTCCTATTTTGAATATGAAAGTTAATTCAGCATTTATTTTCTCATCAAAAATCATTCTAAAATATTAATTACTCTCTATTTTTAATATGAAAGTTAATTCAGCATTTATTTTCTCATCAAAAATCATTCTAAAATATTAATTACTCCCTATTTTGAATATGAAAGTTAATTCAGCATTTATTTTCTCATCAAAAATCATTCTAAAATATTAATTACTAGCTATTTTGAATATGAAAGTTAATTCAGCATTTATTTTCTCATCAAAAATCATTCTAAAATATTAATTACTTGCTATTTTGAATATGAAAGTTAATTCAGCATTTATTTTCTCATCAAAAATCATTCTAAAATTAATTACGGCCTATTTTAGATTTAAAGTTGATTGAAAATAAGATAATTATAAAAATTTTAGAAAAATAACTTGCTATTAAGGATGTATAAAATTCTAAGAAGGTCTACTATAAGATAATAAAATTACCCGCTTATTGATATAATAAAATATGTTTAATTTTTTAAGAAACAAATATAAAAGTTTACAGGCTATTAGAAATGTAAAATATGTTAGATGTTCTAATAAATAAAGTAAAGAATATTAATTAATTACTAGCTGTTTTGGTTAATAAAAATATTGAGATATTTAGAATAAATTGTTAAATGAAAGTTACGCTCTGTTTAAATTTAAAGTTAAGTTGTGGTTTTTAAAATTAGAACAATCAATGATTGTATGTTTATTACTTGCTTTTTTAAATAAATAGGAAAATAAATACCTCTTGATATTATCTAGTTTAAAAATTACCCACTATTTTAAGTTTTAAAGTGTATTTTTAAGTTAGAATTAATTGAATTATTTTATTACATTCTATTTTATTAATTTTAATTTATTATTTCGTCTATCTTACTAAGATTATGAAATGTCAATAAAAAAAAACTACTGTCTATTATTTATTTTTAATAAAACAAAATATAATATCAAGCCAGGATAACTAGATTGATCTTTATTTACTTCTTCCTATTTAAGTCATTTTATTTGAATATATTTCAAAGCAATAAAATTAAAAGTTACCAATCCCTTATTTTAAAGTTGAAGATATTTTATAATATACTGATAAAATATCATTCAATCATTATACTTTCTATAATAGAAAAAAATAATTTAATATTAATTTTAGAGCGGTATTTAACATAAAAGCTTTACGTCCTATTTAGAATATTTTGTTTTCTCCTTATTTAAAATCATTCAAAAATTTTACTCACTAATAATAAATTAAATAAATAAATAAATAAATAAATAAATAAATAAGTAAAGTATCAAAAATAAAAATTTTACTAGCTATTTTATTGAGGTAATTAATGAATGAATATATATATGTCTGTCTATAAGAAAGTAAGTGTAAATATTACAATCTGTTTCAAAATTAAAATAAATTGACTATTTATGATAAAATCAGTCTGAAAGTAATAAATAAATACATCATCCTATTAATTAATTAAAGGTCAATTTAAATCTATAAATCTGATGTGATTAAAGATTATTAATTATTACATCATCCTATTTTATTTATTTATTTAATATAAGTATTTCTTTTTTAATATAATTAAATAAATTAATTATTTACTTCCTAATTAATGTTTTATTCAATTTTATAGAGCTATATTTTTGTTTATCTTAATATTTTACTCATTTGTTCTATTTAAGTTATAATTTTAATTTATCTTTGAATAATCTTTAAAAGCACTTTAATATATTACTTCCTATTTTAATTATCAATTTAATTTTTTAATTTCTGGATAAATGTTCAATTTCTTTACTACTCCCTTTTTGTAATGTTTAAATTACTTTTATTTCTCTAAAATTTATTTAAAATTATTTACAACCAATCTTCCCTTTTAAAAAATAATTTATTTAGCTTCTTTCAATAAAAACATTCAAAATTTACTCTCTATTTTAATTATTTAATGCAATTCATCTTATTTATTTGAATCTAACTAATATTTACTTGCTTTTTTTTAAATTTAAATAATTTTTAGATTATTTTTAATCAAAGATAATATTTACATCCTATTTAAAACCATTATTGATCTATTTATTCGCTGTTTTAAAATCAAAAGATTACCATCTATTTTTAAATATTAATGATACAATAATTTAAATTTCAAAATATTGTAGTTAAATTCATACCCACTAATTCATACAATCAATAAACTCATTTTTTCACTATCTGAACTTCTAAATCACAAATATTATATTACATCCTTTTCAAAATTTTATATAACTCATTTACTATTATTTATTTCGCTAAAATTATTACACCTTCCTGTTAATACTAAATAATTTAAATCAGCATTTTCTAAAAAAATAAATAAAATAATATTACTCTCTAATTGATTATTTAGAAAATTATTTATAAATCATTGTTTAAAATATTTATTACAATCTATTTTGCAATAATATAACTAACTTATTGACCTCTTCCAAATATATATTTTACACTCTATTTTAAATATCAAAATTAATTCTGCATTTATTTTTTTTCTCATTCAAAATTTTAAAATATAAATTACTTGCTATTTGGAATATGAAAGATAATTCAGCATTTATTTTCTCATTAAAAGTCATTCTAAATTATT